ATCGATGGTGACTGCCCAGCTATATTGATATTGAGCACACAGTGCTCTTTACGTATGCCGCTGTAGCTTTTGCTCTAGCTTCTCTGCGTCGTTTTTTATTTTTATTTGCCCGAACTCCTCCCTCCCCCTCCTCCACCTCCCCCCACCCCACCATCTACCTGTCCTGTCCTGCTTCTTGCCTTCAGCGGGCATGTTGCTATGCATGTGGCGCCACATTTACCTACAAATCCAGATCCATTGCTTTCACCAAACCGAGCAACTGGTTACCATCAACTGGCTACCCCCTCCTCCTCTCTGGGCAACTCATTCGCCCCCCGCCCCTTCCCCTTCCCCACCCTGTCTTACCACATCGCTCCTAGCCTCGACGTATATGGAATTGTGCGCGCGCCCTGACAACCAAATGACATAATTCAGTTGCTGGCAAAGTTTTGACTGATGCTGATGCTGCCAAACGATGTCCTTGTTCTGCTGCTGCAGCTCCTGCTCCTACTATTGCTCCTGCTTCTGCTGTTGTTGTTGTTGTTGTCGTATGGCAGAGTTGAATGTTGAATTTTGATGTTCGTTGATTGCCATCACCCATCTGCACACTTGTTTTCGAAGATATGTCACCAGGTGTAGCTGCGCATTTAATCCGACCCAAAGTCGCAGCATCAACAGCCAAACAAATGTCAGGCGTCAGTGTTTCACATGGACCACGGCCGGGCCATGGATTGCCCGCCAGAGGCACTTGTAAAAGTCAAAAGTCGAATGGAAGCGAAAACAACAAATGAAGCTTGTGTAACATGTGCTGACTGCCTGCCTGTCTGCCCGCCTGCCCGCCTGCCTGCCTGCCTGCTGCTGCGGTTTGCCTCTGTCCACAATGGAAATGACTTTCACTTGAACTTACTCGTGTGTCATGTGTCATGTAACTCATACGCCGCGTGGGCCAATAAAAATAGCAAACACCAGTGCTGAAATTAAAATGCAAAGTTCAGTTGCTTTTTCTTAACGGCTGCAGAGCATCACAACCATTGAATATCTTTGTTGTTGTGGCCTGAAAATTACCGAGAATAAAATAAATATGAAATACATATACTAATATCTAGGATGTCTTCTTCTACATTGCTACCCAATGTTATACTCATGGGTAATATTTAGATAATCAACTCTATGAATCGATATTAAGAACTATATACTCTGTTGTCACTGAAGGATAAAAAGAATATCAGTTCAACGACACTAATTGGCTGTCTTTTCTTTCTGTCTGTCTGTCTGTCTGGCTTTTATTATGATTTCATAATTATGTTACCAAAATGTAGCTCTAAAAACCATAACAACCATACTTGGTATGTAGGACTAATTTAAATGCACCTATTCTTAGGGACGAAATCAGCAAAATATTAAAGAGATACTGAAAGCCTTTAAAAATTAATCAAAAGCAGAATGAATATTAAGCACATTGATTTAAATTAAATGTAACAAATTAGTTAAATGACATACAAAAAATTGCAGTATATTGGTTGGCTTACCGCAGTAGAATAAATCACAGTCATAGAAATCTCTGATAGATAGCAAATGAAAAGCAGAAAAAAAAAAATAAATAAATATATGAATATATAAATATTTGATTATTCGCATATTTCTCTTACAAAGTACATTAAATACAAACAAACATCTTGTAAATACACAGAACGAAAGCATCAACTACAATTTTAACAGAAACCAATAAATATCTTAGGCTCGCCAAGGATTATATTTTAATCCAGAATGTTAAATAATATTATGTGTTTGTAAGTTTTAAATAAATTGTGTTTATATGTTTTCTTTTGCACGACTGGCTTTCAACTGAATATTCAATATTTTTGTATTGAAAATGAGGTTTTTTTTTACTTTGATACCGAAGGTATCATAGTATATTGCTTTTTTGCAATGTCTGAATGAACGCAACTTTATTCGACCCCCTTAGAGATAGAGCCTTGAAGCTTGTACAAATTGGAGTGGAGACAAGAAAATCGACAATTGCAATCGATAATTGCAATCGATAAGGCCTCATATCTCCCTCCGATTGGTCGGTTGTTGGCGATATCACACAATTTAAAAGCTAGAGTCACCAAATTTAAGAGTTATATTGCTAGTAACACCCCTCAAAATTCCAGAAAAAAATGTATGACCACGCCCACTCCCGCCCTTCTCATTATTTTATTTTTGCAATATTTACATTCTGGTTATTAAAAACCTATTAAAACAGCAAAAATAATATATAATGTATTATTCATAGTTTTTAATATATTTTTTTTAAATTTTAAATAACGCTGGACTTGGTTCATTTCATTGAAATGAAATCTTACAATTTTCAGCAGCCAGAATTTGTGTGCAACAGTTTTGTGTAGCAACAGAGTAGTGAAGCAGTCGGCTGCTCCGCGTTCCCATTGTTGCCGCCTAAATGCGATGGGCACTGAATATGGCAAATCGTGAGACATTTGGAGAGGGCAACCAGCCTTACCCTGGCCACATTACACGCATTTGAGCCCGTCTCCTGTATGCTCGGCCAGCACACATTTAAAGTTAACACACACACGCGCGTAACCCTAACTCGGGTCAAGGTTAGCTCAGCATTGGCCCCTCTTTTATTTGCTCTTGTGGGCGTGGCAGAGTTTTATATTTATGACCACTACGTGTTCTAATGGGTGTGTTGCTTTCTGGTTTTCCATCTTTTTTTTTTGTTTTTTTGTTCAAGGTTTGTTTTTGGTTGTGTTTTGCATTTTAAGGGCCAAAGCGACAACATAAAACAGTCGTCAAATTTATTAAGTGACATTGCTGCCAAAACAAAAAAAAAAAAAAACAGCAGCATAAAAAAAGACATTTATTGGACAAACACACACATACACTCGCACACACACACTACCACTCCAAAATTAGAGCGAAATAGTAGGCAAGAGGGAGGGCGGGTGAGTAAAAGCGAACGAAAAACTCATTTCAAGTTAATTAGACAGCTCGGGAAAGCGGCACACGGTAAAATAAATATATATATTTACATTTATATACATAAAAAAAAAAAATATATATATATATGAATGTATATGATAAACTCGGCAGCGACCATATTTATGTTAGCCTGGCCAACAAAAATTTTTTAAAAAAGTGACAGAAAATACGACTGAAAGGCATACAAAAAAACAAAGTGTGTCTTAAGTACAACGAAGATGACATACCTTAAGAAACTGCTCTCATCTAAATTTCGCTAGGTATACGAAAACCGAATGATTGTTCCCATGGCAGATCTATGATAATATAATCCCATGCTGATGGTGCTTATTTCAAATCTGAATAAGCAAAAGAGTTGTTGCGACATTAAATCGTCTTCGACCAATATGATATAGTAGCCCGATCTGGCTATATATATGCACTGCGTGCAGAAGAAATTTAAACATAAAAAACGCAAGTGGCCAAATCGAATCGGCGGAGGACTTGATGCTGATCATGGATATATACTTTTATCATATACACTTTGTGGGGTGGCAGAGGTCTCCAGCAATGCGTTACAAACTTGACGGCATAATTAAAATACCCTCTGCGAATGCGAAACAAAAAATAGAAACAAGAGCCTAATGAAATTGTTGGCTAAATTACTCTGGCTATAAATTAAATATTAATTAATAGGCCCGTCTCTCTGCCTGCCTGCCTGCCTGCCTGCCTGCCTGTCCGCCTATCTGCTGTCTGATGTCTGAAGGGACTCGCTTCGAGGATGCTGTCGCAGAGCGCGTCGCAGCGTTAAATTTGCATTTTCTAATTGGCCATCAGGTCGTATGATTGTTACAATGCTTGTCACGCCTAGCACTCCCCTTCAGCCGCTGCTAGTTGCTAAATTGCATTTTGTTTCTTTTACTCGCCTTATTGACCATATTTTGCTGGCATTTCATTTCGGTACAACTTGTGGGCCAAGTTTCAATCACATTAGCCAAAGTCACAAAACTCGCTGAAAGCAAAAGCAAAACAGAATCCACCAATCTCTCTCCCTCTCTCTCTCTCTCTCTCCCTCTCTTGCTCTCTCTCTCACACTTTCCTTATGTTATTTGCTCAGTTTGCTCACTAATTGCTTTGAAACTGTTTTCATTTTTAGTTACCTCACCCAACCCTCCATTTGCTCCGCTGGACAATTCGATTTGACGCAATGGTTTTCCTCGGATTTCCCCCACTCCCGCTCCCCAGTGACCCCATCAATCAGTCCCCCAAACATCGCTTAAGTGCACATTGTTTCATTGGCTATTAGCCACCTGACAGTTATATGAAATTAACAGCAGTCCACTTAAATAGTAAAAAGCTCAATGACATTTCACTTTGATCGATTGCACAGTAAACACTGTAGCCAGAATCTCGAATGAAGCAGTTTGTTAAAGTGTGTGTGTGCATATATATAAGAGAGTATACTACATATAAGGAAGAAGAATAGGTTGATCACGAATGGATACGTTTTTCAGCTCATCTCCTGCAATATACGACTTAAAGATACTCTGTACTCTCAGGGGTGGCTGCCCAATAAGTAAACCATCTTAATACTGTTTAGTGAATAAGCTCGGAATCGGAATTAACTCTCTAGTGGAGCACAGCAAAAATCACAATTTATCTGGGTATCATTCTTGCTCACACAATTAAAAAAAGCCCAAAGTAAAATGAACTCAAATATTATGCTAGGCGCATTATATCACAAATATCTCAAATTCAGAAAGAAATGATGACTTCTCTTGGAGGGAGACAAGAAATAACGACTAATTAACTAAACCCTTTCATTCTTAACAAAAATTATACATTTCAGCTGTAATTCGATATTGAATATGCTTAAATAAGTGCAAATCATTCTTAGGGGAGAACATCTGGAGCTTACTTACTATAAGTTTCAAACTTTGGAGTTGTTAATATCAGAAGAAAAAGTCGACATTCTTGGCAAATACGATAGATACATGATCGAACTGAAAGAGGTCTTAATAAATATAGCAAATCTCACAATATTTATTAACATATTTGCTTATTTATTTATCTTGTAGCAGCAGCAAACTAATGGATTTGGTTAATCGAAACAATAGCAATATGTTTTCGTAATTCATGTTTGTGTCTTTAATTATTTGTGTTTTTTTTTAGTTTATCAGTGCATCAATGCCTGCGGCTACAGCTCATGGATGTTCGCCCTGCTCGAGCTTGTCAGTTTGGGCTCCAGCAGCAGCAGCAGCAGCAGCTTCTTCTCCTTCTTTTGCTGGACGTTGCAATTTCCAGGGATAGACCCCACCACCCAGACGCTGGAGCAGTTCACCCTTGGGCACGGGTCGCATCGGCATCGAGAATCCCAGAAGCGCCTTTTGCCTAAGCATGCTGCCGATTTTGAGTTCGCTGTTGAAGGCATTGTACAGCTCGATCTTCTTGCGGGCAACAAGCTCCATGGTCGGCCAGTCGATGCCCTGGCAAATGCAATTGTCGTGCCAAAAATCAAACTCCTCGCGTGTGAATGCCATGTTCGAGATGTCGTTCAGCTCATGACTCACGCACAGATTCTCGTAGCGCAGATGGAGCACAATGTTGGTGGCTGTTTTCCCCACATAGTAGCCCAAAGGCAGCTCGGCCACGTTGAAGATCTGGGCCATGCGATGCTCGGGAGGCACATTAGCCCCATTGATGTTGACGCGCACAAAGCAGCTCTGCACCGCCTGGTCGAATCTGCTGCTGCTGTGCAACAGCTGCTCAATGCGATGTCGCGTCAGACGCAATGCATCAAGTTGGTCCAGTGTCTGCACCGGCTGACCCGACGTCGTCAATGTACCCAATATCCCCAATGTCGCCATCTTATCATCGGCATCGTTATCATCACTGGAGCCCTGGGCTCTCAAATGCCGCAGCTCGCGCACAATCTCCCATTTGGGACGACGACGCAGCTGCGGCTCATTTGGCGGAACTTTGCGCGATAGCGGTTGCATAAACTGCGGCAAGTCGAAATCCATTCTGTCTGAGCGCGGCAAGCTGCTCTTCAAGTTGGAGCTGTGCCCCTGCCTGCGATTGGCTTTTGACATTTCAGACATCACTTGCAGCTGGCCCCGATGCTCCAACTCTCTCTCTATATGGATATCTAGATCTATATATATATATGCATATATATTTTGTGTTTGTTCTACGAAGTGTCTACTACTGACTATTCCCCCCCGTCACCTGACACGCCTACTCCGAGCACTCAGCCTTCAGTAGCAGTTATTAGTTCGGAATTTCAATTACTTTTGACTGGCGGCCAAGTGGAGAGCGTCAACTAAATAGTTTTGCCCAAATGAGGCATATTTGTTTCTAGAGCGTCAATAATATTTTCAATACTTTAATAATTTCAGCAACATTGAACATTGTTTATTATTATTTACTTTAAATTAAAGAAGTTAAAACTATCGATTCTCGACTATCATCTAAAACATCTCTTTGCACCGTAAAGAATATATATATTCTTGATCAGCAGCCATAGTCGATTTGAAAGTGCCGATCTCATTTAATTTGATCGATAACTTCAACCGTTTCCCCAATATCGATAGAAACCGATTACCAATGACAGCTGAGCTCAGAGTATCTGCTTGTCGAGCTCTCACAATTAGAGCTTTTTTGCTTGTCGCCTTTTTGGTGTTTCTGAATGCATTTAATGATAACTCCCACCCAGTCGAAACTTTCTCTTTATATCCCCCTCTCTTTCTCTCTCTGTGTGTCTCTCTCTCCCTCTCTCTCTCTCTCTCTCTCTCTCTCTCTCTTTCTCTCTGTCTTTGTCTTTCTCCCTTTTTCATTCTTTCGTGGGAAGTGTGAGCCATAAATGCCAGCCAACTATTAAATTTATATTAATTTGGTTTATTTTATTTTTCTTTCTTATTTTTTGGCAACAATTACTTGGCATATGCGCCTCTCTGGCAGCCCATTGAGAGAGACAAGGAGAAAGAGAGAGAGAGAGAAGAAGAGTAGGAGAGAGAAATAGAGATAGAGAGGGAAGTGTTTGTTAGAGTGGTATGCCCATTTGGAGCATTTGCCATTAAATTGGCAAAAGATTTATGGCACAATTGCTTTAATTACAGTTGCAGCTAATTGTATGCAGCCCAGGACGCAGATGCTCTAGACGCAACATCCTTACGCCTCCAAAAGTCTGCCCCACCCTACTCTGCCCCACTTCGCTACTTCTGGTCTGCTGGCAGTGCGCCTAGGCAAAGTCGGGAACCTATGGATGCTTTGTCAGTGAGTCTGCATAAATAACACGTGAATGTGAATTTTGGAGATGCTGGGGAGGTAAGAACGGTTGTTCAAACGCATTAAAAATGCTGCTCACGCATTGATTCGAACCTGCCTTAGACAAAAACCTTAGACAAGCAACTCCAGGTCGCCCACACACTTAAGGGCAAACACGCTTATGCAAGCGCAGTCCTCATCATCATCATCATCATCATCATCATCATTATTATCCATCCACATATCATCCATAGTGGTACGCCGTCGATGAGTTGGCCAAAACTCAAATTGCCTCGATGACTTCGATTCATTCTGTTTGTGTATGTGTGTATGTGTATATGTGTGTATCGATGTGTGTGAGTGCCTGAGTTTTTTTTTTGGATTTTGGCTCTATGATAAATTTATATATTAATTTTATTGAAGAAAGTTGCGAACCACCTATGTGAAAGCGTAGAACTGTGGCACGATTCTCGAAAGGATTCCAACGGAGACTCCTTGCGAATACTGTCTCGGTGTCATTGAATCACGTACCACACGAATGCTCATTCACATTTTTTTCTTTACATGATAGAGCATCAGGGTGTACGCATAAGTGAGTCTGGCTGAAATTTTAGCATATTTATGCGACTCAATGGTTTAAAGACACCAGATAGAGTTCCATGACACAAAAGAAACAAGAAATCGAATTTTGAAAAGAAATTTGGGATGAATATATTCTTGGCTTATAAATGCAAAGTTTATGATTTTCGATTGCAAAACCGAGAAGAAGATAAACAGCACCTTTTCAGATAATACACTCAACAGACATAAGGATCTCAACTAAATGGAAACTGATGTTGAAAGAGAGATGAAAAATTAAGAGGGGCTTACAAAAATCAAGAGCTTTCTGAAACTGCTAAAGAAAGAAGGCTAACAAAGCTAAAAGAGAGAGAGAGAGAGACAGAGAGAGAGAGAGAATTCTGCACAACTCATAGGGCTGACATATTCCTGAGTTGAGACCAGAGTTGCTGAATTGTTTTACGATAACTTTGTATGATGTCAAATTGAATTTGCAGAATTTTCCAGTTCATTTACTTTCCCCTCGCACAATGCGATTCACAAAAAAGAAAGTATACAAAATAGGAGGCGCATTTGGAGAATGTCTCAATAAACCTCTCTCTCTCTCTCCCACTCGGTTCATTCTCTCTTTAGATTCTACCGCGTACCTTGGTCTTTTACAACAATTACCCTTCGATATTATAATATTGTCAACATTGCGCGTACATTTGGTGTAACTAATTAATACAGTTTGAGTAATTTCATAACGCGTCTCAGTTTTATTTAATACTTCCAACGCAATGAAGATGCGGGCAACGACTTATTTGAAGATCCACTCCGAATAATTAATCACGTTCTCCCTAATAATTGCTCCCAGCAGTTGGTTTTCTTGTCCTTCATTTTGTACATAGACAAGCTTGTATGGACACCGAGTAAAGAATACATCGAAATTTGACACTGCACTCACAGCAAAAAGGAAACAACTTCATACAGCTGCGGACAAAATAATAGTGCACACAGATGATTTGGAAAATGTTAGAAAAAAAACGTGCTTAAAAGATAGTTCAAAAATGATGAACATTTTAACTTCAACACAAGCAATCAATACCGAAGATAAGTAAATATTCAAAGTTGGCATATCTATCAAATTTATTAACAAAACAAAGAATATTCATTAAATTTAATAATTATTATATTTATTTTACATTTATTTTTGTTAAATTATTATTTATTAATTATCAATTGTAATAGAGGTGGAAGTGAAGTTTTCTCAGCTTTCCTTACCGTAGAATAATTTTTTTAAAAAGTAGATATGATGTGTGGTTATATTACTACGGTTGGTATTTGGAAAATTATGGAATTTGAAAACCATCCCAGACGAGAAACCAAACACATTTTGTTTTGCATAACTTTTTTGTTCATATTGAAAATTTTGAAGAGGGGTTGCTTTAATCGCCTTAAAATGAGTCATATTTTTATGATATGCTTTGAGAAGCACTATTATTATTTTGACCTCAACAGTAGATACATGCACACGCAGCATGATTTCATTGTTTTTGCTCTGCTCAGTTTTGCTTGTCTTGCTGGCGCACCTGTTACATATTTACATGTGTATCTACATATGTATCTACGTATCTTCTTATCTACCTATCTATGTACGTTGTGTGTTTCCGTTTCCTTTGCTTTTACATGCTGACACACCAAAACCAAATTACACTTTTACATTGGTGGTGGGATCACGTGATGCAGTTTTTTCCAGAGGTTCATTTTAAACAGGCGATTTGCACGCCGGTTCATATGAGCTTAATCTTTTAAATTGCCAACACGACGTGGAAAAAATTGGTACTTAACGGATGAAGCATTACACCGAATGAAGCATCGTCCGAGCGGCGATCGTTGGCCACAAAGACACCACGTAGAAACACGATATTCAGCTATAGTCGTGCTTCTTTCGCTCCCTCGCACAATCCCCCTCTCTCTCTCTCTCTCTCTCTCTCTGTCTCTCTCTCTTTCTCTACACAATATAAGCATTCACATTTGATTGACAAAGTCAGGTGTTGGCGGCACTGGAGCTTGCTCTCTTGCCCTCTCTATCTTTTTTATATTAGTTGTGCCATTTTGATAAGACTTAAGGACTTGAACGCATTTTATGAACGCATATAAATATTGCGAAATATTTCCGATAAAGGGAAATCTAATTTAAATAGAACTTAATTTTAAGTCTACGTGCAATTTCTTGGGACGTAAATCGTGTATTCATTTCAAATGTTGTATTTATTATAGGGGTCAAACCAAGGTTTTGAAAATCGGTTCAGTTTTCTCAACTGAGAGAATTTATACACATTATGGAGATGCTTTCCCCTTTCCCAATAACAGGATACATTTTTTACGCAGGATATAAAAAGATGATCCATTTGTTGCCCTGTGTGGTAGTTGGGTTTGTTGTGGCATTCACCTTTAAATGTGGCAAGTAAGGCCCGCGGGCTGGCAACGGTGGGCAAGAGTGATCCACGCCTTGACGTTGACAGCCGCACACGGAGAATAAGTACATACATATATGTCTGTTTGGAAAAGTTTTCTGGCCAACATGCAAGCGGCACCCTCATCCAGTTGCTTACCACCCTTCCAGCCTGTCAGGCTGCCAGCCTGCCAGCCTGCCAGCCTGACTGGCTGACATGCCAACCGCTCAAGTTATAATGTACGTGCAAGTATTGGGGGCTTTTTTGAGGAACAAGCAAATAAACGGGCGCCTACTGCTGCTGCGAACAGGAAGCTACAGCTAAATGAATCTAGGATATGGATACCCATGTCAAAAAAATAAAATAAAATAAAAATAAATAAAAAGTCCTGCATAAGCCACAGCCCAAACACCCGAACCCCGATCTCCGATCTCCGATCCTGGACAACTTATAAGTATTTCGAGGTGAGCGGGTTGGCGGGTTGGCGGGTTGACGGCAAACAGTACCAGACCAGGACCAGGAGCTGGAGCAGGAGCAGAAGCAGGGGCGGCGTCGTCGACGAACTGGGCTCAAGAAAACTTGTTTGTTGCACAGAAACAAAAGCGCTTCCGCTTTTCATGTAAAATGACAGAAACAAGTGTTAATGGTTTTGGGTTTAGGCTCAAGCCGAGATGCAGAGCTACTGATAAGAGAAGAGGTAGAGATTGGGTGAGACGGGGAGCGGGGTGGGGGTGGTGACAGTCAGTCAAACCAAAAAATTGGGTTGTGGGGAAGTGTGGAGTTTAAGGCCATTACTCGGCAAAGGCAACGTTTGAAATGATCTACAACACAAGGCTTACTCAAATCGATCGGTGATATAGACTATATACAATCAGAAAATATAACAATT